CCATTTGTCTGAAGCTTGTGACCCGAAACAGTTGAACCCTAAATGTCAAATATTAGCTTGTAATTCTGAAAATAGCCCATACATCTTGGGAGTCAGACAATAAACTAAATTAACAACAGTGTCAGAAGTATCATACCTGAAGAGTCTGTAGATATTGTTGAATGCTAAGGCAGCACCAAGCCTTTTGAACCCACTGGGGTGGAGTGCCAAGCTGTAGATCCGCTTAAATAATGACTTCATGTTGGCAGGGCTCTTCTCCTGCTGCACTGGAATGGTCTGTTTGACTGACCATTTGACAAATTCTTCGATGCAGCGGCCACAGAAGTCTCGCAGAGTGCTGTCCTTAGGGTCAACCACACCATCCTGAACACAAACCAAATGAAGCATAAAATGGAATTGCTTCCAGAAAAAGCCTGAAAACTCCATTAAACTGCCATGTGTACATTAGGGATGTCAATGATGAATCAGTTAACTAATTTCCCTTAATAATGTAATCAATTAAAAGTACATTAACCGACAGTGCAGAATAGGACAATGTTAACTGTCAAATTTTCATTCGTATTTAAATCAAGCTGTCATGGGAATTCCTCTCAGGTGTGAAGCCATCTCCATACCACACCATGCCAACTTTATTTATAAAGCACTAAAAACAACCAAAGTGCTGTACATTGCAATAAAACAGTATATATTATAAACCCACAAACAATATAAAATATAATCAATATAATAAATAACTAAATCAACACAAAAATAAAATATCAAAATGCAAGGGAAAATAAATGAGTTTTTAAAAGAGACTTAAAAACAGACAGGGTAGAGGCTTGTATAATGACATCAGTAAGTCATTCCAGAGTTTGGGACCAGCAACTGCGAAGGCTCGATCGCCTCTAAGCTTACGCTTTATTCAAAGAGCATGTGGGTGTATGCCAATGAAGCAAATCAGATAAGTAGGATGGTGCAAAGCCATGAAGAGATTTAAAAACAAAGAGTAAAATTTTGTAATGGACATGAAAATGAACAGGGAACCAATGTAGGGAAGCCAATACTGGAGAGATATGCTCATATTTCCTCGTACCTGTTAAAAGATGCGCTGCTGCATTTTGGACCATCTGGAGGCGAGTGATAGAAGACTTACCGACCCCAAGATACAACGAATTACAGTAGTCCAAACGAGAGGTAGTAAAACCATGAATGAGCATCTCAAACTGCTGTCAGCCCAAGTCAATAGATGGGGAACAGAATCACCAAATATTATCACCTCAGTCTTATCCTCATTCAGCTTTAAAAAGTTAAAAGCAAGCCAAGATTTTATGTCATCGAGACATTCAAGAAGTGTACCAACAGAAGAGCTCGTCTTATTAACCGGTAGGTAAAGATGGTAATCATCCGCATCAAAATGAAAGGAAACACCGTGATTCCTGAGTATAGAATCAAGTGGAAGAAGGTAAAGGGAAAAAAGAAGGGGTCCAAGGACCGAGCCTTGTGGTACCCCATGCAAAAGGGGCTCAGAGGAAGACACAGCATCTCCAAGTTTCACACAGAAGGATCTATCCTTAAGATAAGATCAAAACCATTCCAGAGCTATACCCCGGATACCCACCCAGTGCTCTAAATGAGAAATAAGAATATTGTGGTCCACTGTGTCAAAAGCAGCAGTCAAATCTAAGAGCACTAGGACCACACAATTCCGTCCAGAGTCAGTTGCAAGAAAAATGTCGTTTAAGACTTTCACCAAGGCTGACTCAGTACTATGCAGGGTTTTAAAGCCTGATTGAAAAGTCTCAAGAATATTACGCTCATCTAAGAAAGCCAGTAACTGAGTATAAACTATCTTTTCAAGGACTTTGGAGAGAAATGACAAATTTGAGATGGGCCTAAAATTTGAGAACACTGTGGGATCCAGACCAGGTTTCTTAATCAGCGGCCGCACCACGGCATGTTTAAACATCATTGGAACCAGGCCAGAGGATAAACTACTATTTAATAACGGAGAGAACAAATGGCCCTACAGCCGGAAAGATTTCCTTTAAAAAACGAGGAGGAACAGCATCATTTCGGCAGCCAGAGGGATTTAGTCGCCCAACAATCTCCAGACAATGGGATAAGGACACACACTCAAACTGGTCAAAGACAGCAGAGCAGGGACGAGAAAAATCATAAGCAGCAGATAAAATATGAGCTCTGGTAGAAAGAACCTTGTCATAAAAAAAAAGAATAAAAATTTTTGACAAAGGGCAGGGAAAGACTCAAAACAGGCAACCTGAGGAACATTCAGGACTGAGTCAATAACTTTAAACAACACACAAGGCTTATGACAGTTTAAATGATATTAGATAAATAATTTCTCTTAAGATTTTTCACAATTTTTTGATAATCATGACAAGAGTCCAAGTATCTGAAGTGACACTTGTAGTTTGTCCTTTTTCCACTAACGCTCAGCCCTTCGACACTTCCAGCAGCTTGTCTGGAGCAGGGAGCCACCTGGTTGTGTTCTGTAATTTTTATTTGCGGCTTTAAAATAAATCAGCACTAAAATGAAGAAAGACGGACTCCTTCCTTATTCAGATCTGTCCAATAAAAGAACTGGGGTATTATACCTTTCTGTCCTGTGCAGTGCAACTCCCGTACCACAGTGTTGCACTGATACAGAGGATGCTCTCTACTGTCGCTCTGTAGAAGTTTGCGAGCAACTGAGAGGAGAGACCAGTGCGTTTCAGCTTCCTGAGGAACAAAAGCCTTTGTTGGGCTTTCTTCACAGGTAGGATGTGTTCAGAGACCAGGTCAGGTCAGAGGTGATGTGGATGCCCAGGAACTTGATGTATTCCACTTGCTCCACCACCTCCCAGTGTATGAGAAGCATGTTTTGTCTTCCTGGACCTCCTATAATCCACAATGACCTCCTTAGTATTGTTGGTGTTCAGGACAAGACTGTTATCTGAACACCACCTTGTCAGGTGCTGGATCTCTTCTCTGTAGTGAGTCTCACCATTGTCTAAAATGAGACCAACTACAGTGGTGTCGTCCACGAACTTCCAAGCTGTATTTGTGGGGTGAATGGCATAACAGTCATGGGTAAACAGAGTGAAGAGAACTGGGCTGAGCACACAGCCCTGTGGTGTGTCTGTGTTCAGGACCAGTGTGGATGATGTGCAGCTTCCGATTCTCACCACTTTAGGCCTGTTAGCGAGAAAGTCTTTAATCCAATGACACATCACTGCAGGCATTCCCAGATTGTGCAGTTTCAGTGCCAGTTTCTCTGGGATTACAGTGTTAAATGCCGAACTGAAGTCAACAAATAGCATCCTAACATAAGTGTTAGGATGCTCCAGGTGGGACAGGGCTCTGTTGTTCAGTTCTCTCTGCAGGCAAACTGATGGCTGTCCAGATCAACAGGGATGACATCCTTGATGTGCTTTAGGACAATCTTCTCAAAGCACTTCATGATTACTGGTGTCAGAGCAACAGGGTGGTAATCATTGAGGCAGGTGACAGCTGATTTCTTGGGCACAGGCACAACGATGGAGGACTTGAGGCACACAGGGACTGAGGCAAGATGCAGGGACAGGTTAAAAATGTCCAAGAAAACTCCTGCCAGTTGGTCAGCACATAGCTTCAAAACCTGGCATGACACCCTGTCTGGTCCTGCGGCTTTGTTGGCGTTGGATCCTCCTCAAGGTAGAGCTCACCTGGTGTAGCTGCAGGATGAGAAGCTGGTGCTGTTCCTCGAGCTGAGGGAGATGTACAGTTCCTCTGCTGCCAGGTGTATCAAAGCGTGCAAAGAAACTATTCAGAGTGTCAGGGAAGGTGGTAACAGGGGCAAGTCGTCTCCTAACCAAAAGTTTAGCAGTTCAATTGCCGCTTGTCCACTCTATGTGTCAAAGTGTCCTCGAGCAAGACGCTGAACCCCCAGTTACTCCCAGTGATGTCACCGGTGTGTGAATGTGTGAGTGCGAATGGCTGAATAGTGTGAAAGCGATTTGAGGCACCTCATAGAGCCTTATCATCCTAACAGAGCACTTGGCTCTCAGAGTGCAGGTTTACTTGTGATTCCTAGAGTCTACAGAAGTAGAATGGGTGGCAGAGCCTTTAGCTATCAAGCTCCTTTCCTATGGAACCAACTCCCAGTCTCAGTTCAGGAGGCAAACACCCTCTCTACCTTTAAGATTACACTTAAGACTTTCCTTTTTGATAAAGCTTATAGTTAGGGCTGGATCAGGTGACCCTGAGCCTTCCCTTAGTTATGCTGCTATAGGTCTAGGCTGCTGGGGCACCCCATGATGCTCTGAGTTTCTCTCCTGTCTATTCATCTATACTCCACCACTACCTGTCACTAACTTTGTGTCTCCTCTCCCCTGTAGTGTTTCCTCTCTCTCTCCCCGTACCTTTCTGCAGGTAGCTGTAAAATTTGATTCTTATAGGCTCTAGTTACTTTGTAAGCTTTAGTTACCTTTCTTCCCTTTAGTTCCCTTTAGTTACTTCTCATAACTCTAGTTTCCTTTAGTTACTTTTCAGTTCATTTTCTTTTTGTTACTTTTCATACCTTTATTTTCCTTGCTTATACATATTACAGCTGTATTGATGATTGTCCAGAACTACTGAGCTTTGGTTACTTTTAATACATTTATTTTCCTTGCTTATACATCTTACAATTGTATTGATGAGTGTCAAGTGATACTGAAGTAGAAACTGCCTGCTTTAACTTTTGTGGCGACATGATGTCTGTGCCTTCAAGTAACCAGACGGCCTATTTTACATTTTAACACAGACCTGTTGGCCTGTTTTGCATCTTCACATAGGCCCGCTTAGCATATTCCAAGTTCTGCGTTGCCATGTAGTATCTTGCAGAGACAGGGGGCCTACAACCTGAGATGACCACCTGGCCCGTTTAGCATACCCACTAGGTCCTGCTTTGTCCTGTAATAGCCTACACAGATAGGGGGTAATTACCTGTCCAGCAGAAATATGGCCAATTCGTCATCGCTGTTAGATCCAGTAAAGTCCCGCGCTTTTTCTGGGAAAAGAAAAGCAGCTCCAAACAGCTTCTCCGGAGGACGAGCAGGACATGTGCTCTTCTTTTACTGTTTCCTTCTCTTTATTTGTATGTATGTCGGTTATTGGTTTTAACGTGTTATAGAAGTAAATTTAGATTTGATTTATGATTATGCTGTATTTTGTTTTATTCATCTGATTCTGAAAAGGAACTGGCCTTATCAAATGCATATGGCCTAATACAGTAGAAAGTACAAGATCTGATTTAAAGTCCAAGGATGGTAGCAGAAATTGGAAATGCTCAAGTAAAGCAGAAATATCTCTAAATTGTAAAGTACTTGAGAAAGTGTACTCAGTTACTTTGTACCACTGGCTGCTAGCTGTTGGTACAAACCCATTTATGACTGGTAGCTGCTGTGTGTTACTGTATGTTTGTAGGTGACTTCTCTTTGTTTTGGTTCCCTCAGCTGTAGACACCTGGGGCCATATTACACCTGGTCTGACTCCCAAGGGGACTAGACTGCTGTTCTGGAGGTTGACAAATGTGAAACATGTTGAAAATAAAACTTTAAAGGTTCTCTATATTGCTGAGGTGTGCACTGTAATGGTGAGTTGTAGTCACACTGTGCAGACATTGTTGTGCCCTGCTGTTGGTGCTGACCCGTCACAGCCAGCTTCACTGCAGAGCAGAAACTAGTTCAGGCAAACAGCACCTGTAGGAATGTGGCTTATTATATGTTTATGTAGTAACCTGTACTGTAAAGATTTCAATACTGAACAACTTCAAACGCCCTGGCTCTGGAGCTCTAAGAGCAGTCACCAGCCACATCAACCTGACCAGTGTTTGATCATTTGGTGCTTTTCTTTCCTTTTCCCTCTCTCCTCTCTCCACTCACCCCAGCCGTGACCAGAGTGTGTGGGCAGTTCCTGGATGACAAAGGCACTGATGCCATTGACTGGCCCTCACATTCCCCTTTCCAAAATCCAACTGAGCACGTATGGGACATTATGTATCGGTGCATCCGACGCTACTAAGTACCACCACAGACTGTCCAGGAGCTCACTGAGAAGATCGCCCCAGGATACCAACTCATCAGGATCATGCCCAGATGTTGCTGGGCGTGCATACTGGCACGTGGGGGCCATACACACTTCTGAGTCACATGAGTCATGGTGATGAAATTCACTTAACTTGGATGAGTCTGTGATTTCAAATTTTCACATTGATTTTCAGTGTGACTTTGAATCCAGCCTCCATGGGCTGATGATTTTGGTTTCCATTGACCGTTATGTCATTTTGTACTGAACAAATTATACAAAGTAAAAGTTTTCAACTTGAATAACTAGTTTATCAAGATGTGTGATTTAGTTCATTTTGAAGCTTATATTGCAACATTTATGATGTATAGTCTTAAGTCTTGATTGATAATTGAGTCTATTATGCCATTAAACTTACCAGTATGGCATCTAGAACAGCTACTGTGTCCTGGCTTTCAAACTTCTTGTTGTTTGTGAACCAGTGAATCAGCTGCATAACGAGAGGCTCAAAGAGCTGTCTGGTTACCTGAAAGAGACATCCTCAAGTCAGCTTCAAGTGGAGACATCATTACACACTGACTTAGGAAAAAAAAAAAAATCACAGTATGAGGAACATAAACCTGCATTATTAAAAAACTAAAGTAACCAATAACCAATGAAAATCTGGGGCATTAGATGAACCTTTTCAAATGTTAGCAAATGCAGCCACCAAGTCGAGCCTAGTCTGGTGCACTGAACATTTAGTTCTTTACAGTTTCACTGTTTTATTCCAATCATAAACAGCCCTCACTGAAACCTAACATTATTTAAATTTTAAGAGATTTAACACTATACTGTACTCTGTAATGAATGAGTCTGAGAGGCGGAAGAAGTACTGATTTTACTTGAGTAAAAGTAGCAGTACTACAGTATAAATATGCTCTACAAGTACCAGCCCTGCAGTCCGAATTTTACATAAGTAAAAGCAATAAGTACAGAAGTTTTATCAAAAATTAGTAACTAAATTATGAAAAGTACTAATTATGTAAAATGGCTCACCGGACACAGTGCAGCTAATTTTAACTACTGTACTTGTTCAGGCTGATTTGGCTATCTCCTCTGCTGCAATAAAACTTGCTGTGTGATTTCGCTTTGGTGAAAACGTCTGCTGTGATGTCAGATTCCTCTTCAACTCCTCTACCTTCTGTAGCTTCTGCTCTGCATTCACATTTTTCAGCTTCAGTTTTGTCTCGTAGTGCTGTCTTAGGTTATATTCCTTAATTACAGCCATATTAGCTCCACAAATAAGACACACGGGTTTACCGGCATTGCCAGTAAACATATACTCAGCCTCCCACCGCTTTTTAAAGGCTCTGTTTTCAGAATCAACTTTTCTCTTGGCCATTGTTAGGGGCTAGCTTTGACTTGAAATTAGAGTTGTATACATCAACAGACGCTTGAATGATCCCACGTAATTGACGCGGGAATGATCACAGGTAGCCTGCCAATTAGGCAGGTAGCCTAATTCTACGCCGGGCCGGATGTGGCCCGCGGGCCTTGAGTTTGACACGTGGTTTACTTGAACATGACCTCAAATAAAATAAAAATGTCTCTCATTGAATATTTATTTATAAACTTTCAGATATTTTGTCCAGAGGGTTTGTTCACCAACATGTCGCATGATTACAACCTATTCAAATCAAGATATCTATGGACATTTGTAACCAACATTAACAAAGGTAATGTTCCTGATGCAGTACATGTACCTGATCGACATCACAGGACAGACGCAGCAGCACCGGAAACAGCCTCTTGTGTAACTTGTACATGGGCGACAAACTATTCTTCTCTTCAACCATCTGAGCACTCTTCCCAACCATGTAGATGACCAAGCTGTGGAGCAGCTCACAAGCTGCTACCTGCATCAAAATAAGTGAAACTGTATAACAATATTCATTTGTATCTACTGGGTAATACCACCGTCGATGTCTACCAGCAGTGGAAACTTAGATGCATACTTTGGTTTGTCTGTCACTTGTGGACAGAGCCAGTTCACTGACACGAGGTAGAAATGGGTCAAGGTAGATGACTGGCTTCATATCGGTGAATGGCACCGCCAAGTTCAGCCTTTTCTCAGAGTCCCAGGCCACACATTTCTTCATGCCTTCCTCTGATGAAGCCTCTAAAAGCCATAATATATGTCAACAAAAACAGCCAACACTCACTGACATGAGTCTTGTTTAAGTGTCCTTAGACCACCACAAAATGTCCCTGCAAAATAAAATGAAGAGCATGCTAAATCCTTACCAGTTACAAGGTTCCTGTTCAGCTTTCCACCCAGGTGACCAAGCAGTTTCACCACCCTGAGCCTCACCAGGGCTAGAGGAGCATCTTCCTGCATTCAGATACAAGTGATAAGTAAGCTGAAACACAGGAGCCTACAGTAAAGCTGCTGCACTCACCAGTTTCTGTACTGTACAATAATAAACAGATCATTAGTACCTGTCCTAAAGAAATTCAGTTTCATAGGTGATTAAAACAGAAATTAAATCACTCCTGTAACAGCCCCTCAGTCATCTGGGAGGTTTGTTAATCTCTGCTCTTTAGGAACAGCTTGTT